CAGGGAATAAGGACAGCCACCGAGCCTTGCTGTGGGAGAGCAGTCTTTTATATTCCACCTCGACAAACTCACAGTATTCTTGTAGGAATTCAGTCCGTACTGTGTATATGTGGAAGTACTGGTAGATTTTTAGAATGATGTTCTCAATGTCCACATCAAGGGTGTCTGCTCCGTGATGGATGCAATTATGCAAAATGTGGGCTGGACAGTACACCCCAATTAAAGTCTCTCTCTGGAGTGCTTTCTTCAACTTGGTGAACACACTCCTCGCCTCTTCGTCTTGCCGAAGTCCACCAAACATGGTGTTGCAGTTGTCCCCTGCAAACGCCACACATTTCTGAAACAATCCATATTTCTTGAGAACTTTGACAAGATAGTCTGAGACAGCATTGGCTGTCTCAGTGGGTGCTTCCTGAAGTTCTAGGTGTTTGGTCTTCAAGCCACCATTCCTGTAGTCATAATATTGAATAAGTACTGGGAACATTTTCACTGCACTGTGATTGCTGTCATCTATAGCTACTCCACAGAAAGGGATGCAATTTTCTTCAAGTGCCTTCAGGTCAACATTCTCTACGCATGGAGTTAGCACACAATTCTCAATACTTTCTGTCTTGGTTTGGTCACTGGACAATTTCTGAACTATGTCTGCATTAGGAAATAATTTTCTCAAGTCAGAATTATCATCCATTGATTTCTGGCTGTTGTGACTCATGACTGTGTGGAATGCTAGAGTGCTGTCAGCTGCAGTAACAGCATCCTCTGTTTCACTGTCTGGATCCACAAAAAAGTCTGTTTTTGCAGACCAGTTGTCCCGTGTTATTGCTTTATTGCGTTTGTATGCTTTGAGTGCTTTCTTGTGCTTGTCAGAGGACATGTGATACTCCAAATCACCGGGACCTTTATGTGCAACTGACACAAATGTGCCAGGTTTGCAGACCAAACACTCTGCTTCATAGTCATCTCTACCTTTACGAAAATCAGGATAATTGCGCCTTGTTTTCTCAGTAAACAGACATTTTCGTTTAGACATTATTTTATCTTCAGTGTGGCTCAAAAGCTGAGTCCTAGAATCCTGCAGGAAACAAAATGCATGGACAGGTTCAAGTTTGGAAGGAATCATAAGAGATTGCTTTACGATCTAGAAAAGTATGGTAGTAAAAGGTACTCCACACACCAGTATCTTCGAAGTGATTTGGTTACTTTAGGTGAGCCAAGGTTTGGCCACAACAAAAGCCTAGAACATTTGAGATCCTTTAATTTGGAAGACAGGATACTGGGGAAGGACATGACTGAGGTATATAAAATGAAGGAAGAAGTACACAGGGAGCTTTTTTCCCTCTTTCCAAACCTAGGGAAGAGGTAATCCAATGAAGCTCATCAGAAGGTGCTTTAGAACAGATAAAAGCACTTCTCTGTACATATAGCACATAATAAACTTTTGCCTCCAGATTGCAGCAAATCCCAGTTACATGGGAACAATGGCTGGAAATGGGCATATCTCCATCTCCTGCTTGCAAGCACCCCAGAAGCCATGAGAGAAACAAAATGCTGCACTAAGATGGGCCTTGGTCCGATCCAGCAGGGCAACTCTAATGACTGGCAACTAGGTATAGAATGATGCCATGCTAGTCAAATAGCACAGATGTTGCCAACCAGTCCACTTGCTCTTTTGCTTCACTCTTACTTTTGCTCCCATTTGCCCAGCTCAAGCCTCAGCAGCAGCAGGTAAAAAGGGGGGGGGGAATCCAATTTTGAGACTGCCCAACTCCACAACGACTGTGGGTTGCTTACAATGAAGTAAAATTTGAAAATCACATACATCAAAGATGATAAAGCTGACTAGAAGACCAATTCATAATATAAAATAACAACCTACCAAAAGCAAAGGGGCTCAACCAGCTATCTTACCCCAAGGCCTGGGAGAAGAACCAGGTTTTCAAAATTTGTAAAAAATCAATAGGGTGGGAATAGTATGGATCTCCAGGGGGGATATCACTGAGAAGGTATGCTTTCTGGATCCTATAAGATGACACTGCTTGATCGATGGAACCCAGTGCATGCCCACTCCAGCTGACCTCACTGGATGGCCCAAAACATAAGCGGTCCCTCAGGTAGCGAGCCCCTATGCCGTGAAGAGCTTCATAGGCGATAACCAGCAGCGACTGTCTGAAGGTTTGTTTCTTGGAGGCTTGGTTTTGCGTGAAGCCAGTCGGGGTCATTAATTGACAGCGGAAACCCAGAAAAGTGAAACCCAGAAAAATGGGGGAATTCAGTCACTAGATTTAACGTGTTGTGGAAATCCAAGCCAGTTCGGTCAACCGTGGCTCATTAAACGAGATCAACGTACCTTCAGACCACAAAGCCCCCGAAAGGGGAAGAAGCAAAAGCAGGACAGAAACGCGTATAGTCACTATCTCACAGCTCGTCATGAAGACCATATTTTTCCCTTTATTGATTTTCTAAATCCCCGCCCCGGAAGACGTCTAGAAAGCGAGGAGAAAGCGCCCAGCCTAGCGTAGGCGCGCTGCGTCACCCCGGCTCCGACATTATCCGCAGCTGTTTGGGCCAGGGAGCATCGGCCCCTCCCACTCCTCCCACAGCGTCAATATGGCTTCGCCGGGAACAAACAAAATGGCCGCGCGAGCTCCGCGCGCCCCGCTCCGGAGGCAAAGAGGCCCGCCCGGTTGATTCTCTGAGCTCCAGGGCGCCGGAAGTCTGCGGGCGGCCCGCGGTTTTCGAGCCCGCCCTCCGCGGACCCCACCGGCGGCCTCACCTGCCGTTCGGTCCGCCCTTTTTCCCGCTCAGCCTCCGCTCCCGCTGCCTCGTGCGATGGTGTGGGCGGCGGTGCGAGGCGCGCAGGCGCGGGACGAGCTGCGAGGCGGCGAGCGGGAAGGGCGAGCGAGCGAGCATGGGGCAGCCGAGCTCGGCTTCTCCCCCTCGGCGGCTGGCGGGACGGGGAAGTCTGGGGCGCCTTAGGAAACGCTGGGCACCTGGCCTCCCCCCTCCTCTTCCCCCGATTCTCTCCGCCACGCGCGGTAGGGCAGGCAGCGGGGAGGCCGTCGGCAGAGGCGTCGGTCCAACTTGGACAGGCCAGGCGAAGTTGCCTTTCTGGGCGGGGAGGAACCCGCTCTGCTCTTTCCTCCTCAGAAGCATCTCGGCAGATCCTTTGTGGGAAGATGGGCTTTTCTGGGTACTGCGAGTCGACACCGGCTTGGGGGCCCACAGACGATCGACGTCCGAGATCGTTGGCCCAGCAGCTGAACGGCTCCGTCCCCCTGGAGCCCCCGCGCGCTCTAACGGCTCCGTCCCTCCTGCCCCGAGGGGGCGGGGCTCGGTTTCCCTCCGTCGCCTCGCGAGTCGGGCGGGCGTAAGGAGGAAAAAGTGCCTGTCAGAAAAGGCGCGAGAGGGGTGAAGGAAATAGCACGTCAGGAGAAACAGTGCGAGGCGATGCGTGTGTCAGAAGGCTTGAGGATGAAAACTATGTAGAAAAGCGATGAAACCACTCAGTGTGCAAGAGAAAAATGCGTGTGTCAGAAAGCGTGAGGGGTGAAAAGTTAATGTGTAAGAGAAGTGAAGGAAATAGGGTGATGAGAAAAATGTGTGTCAGAAGAGGCGCGCGAGAGTGTGAGGAGTGAAAACATTACATATAAGGTGGTAGCATGTGAGACAAAAGTGCCTGTGTTGGGAGAAAAACGAACTTGTGCCTGTGAGCAAAGGGCATGTCTGAGAAAAGGTGGTGTATGTGGGAAAGGAAAAATGTATTTGTGTGCACAAGAAAAGGTGTGTGAGAAAAGTAGGGAAAGAAAAAGTGAGTAAAAGTGTGATGGAGAAAAAGTGCATGCCTGGGGTCATGTCTGAAGGAGAAAAAATGTGAGTGAATGGATGAAAAAGTATATGTGTGAGAAAAATGGTGTGTGAGGCAAAAGTGTGTCAAGCGTGAACTAAGATGCAAGAGTGAGTGGTGAAAAGTTAATAGGTGAGAAAAGTGAATGAAATTGCGTGAGACAAAAGGCCGTGTATTTGGAAGAAAAGCGAACTCGTATGTCAAAAAAGTATGTGAAGGAGAAAAAGTAAGTTGGAGGAAAGATGTATACTTGATAAAAAGTGCATGTCAGAAAGTGAGGGGGCAAAAAAGTGAGTAAAATGCATCTTGTCAGGGAGAAAAGCAAGCTTGTCAGAAAAATGTGTCTGAGGGAGAAAAATTACAAGAGTGTGTGAGGGGGTGAAAACCTTGAGGGAAATAAGTGTGGGACAAAAGTGTCAGAAGAATAAACTAGTACGTTTCAGAAAAAGCTGTGAGAAAAGTGTATGGCAGGAAGAGTAAGAAAAGCATGAAGAGGAGGAGGAAAGGGGTATTTGCATGCGTCACAAAAATGAACTTGTGAAAAAGTTGTTTGAGGAAAAAAACAAAAGTGTAAGGGAAGTAGTGCATGAGACAAAATAGCATACCAGAAAAGGGCAGATCTATGAGGACAAATTTTGTACGCGTGCGGGAGGCCTGTGAGAAAAAGTGCAAGACGAAATGCATGTGTCAGAAAAACTTGTGCATGTCAGAAAAGGGCATGTCTGAGGGAGAAAAGTTCTATATGCATGAAAGAGGAAAGAAAAGTGAAGTATATTTCTGTTGAGAAAAATGCATGTGTGACAGGAACAAAAGATGTGTGCAAAAGTGTAGAAAGAAACGTGTGTGTCAAAGAGAAAATATTTTAAAACTTGTGGCTGAGGGAGAAGATGTTGCGTATGGCTGTGAGAAAACTCTGGGTGTGTGGGTGAGTAAATGTGAGAAAAGTGTATTTTCTAGAAGCCAGGAGAGCTGGCGGATTTCATCCTGTGCCATTTTGGGCTGCATTTCCACTAAAGGGTGTGTGTATGTTGATTTACATCTTTCACAGGGATGCTTTTTTGTATGGCAGGGTTGGCCCAATACATTTAAAGCTGCTGCATTTATGCACATGCAGTGTTTGATTAGTTTTATCCTTGATTAGTGTTTTTGTAACTTGGGTAACTATGCATGGTGTGGAAAATCCACCAAAATGTGAGGGTGGGAAATCCTGTTACATGATTCCTCTAAAGCAAGACCAGTGAGGCTTTTTCCCACGGAACCAGGCACACATTTGTGCAATCTTTTGATTGCTGCAGTTCAACCTAGCAGAGCCTTGCCACAAAACTGCACACTCTCCTTTGCTGCTGCATCCACACCACTGCCTCCTGTAGAGTTGTTGCTACCCATCACCTTCTTCCTAATGGAAGAGTGTGGCGGATCTTTCCCGTCTGCTGTGTGCAGACCCGCATCTTACAGCAGTCCTTTCTAAGTCCCACCCAAAATGTCGTCACTGAATAGAGGAGGAGGAAGAGAGCAAGGAGCAGCCAATTGACTACCTGGAAGGGAGTGACGTCAAGGCGGATAGGGTGGGGTCCTGTTGCAACTTCAGAAAAGCTTACAAGGAAGCACGAAGGAGGTAGGAAAGTTTGAGTCTGTGTCATCTGGTTCACTTCTATTTTCTTATGATGTGATCTATTGCTAAGAATTCATCTCTTTTATTTAATTCCAGTACAGGTGGAAGATAGTTTCCTTAATCCCATTTAGTATAGCTTGCCTTTTCCACCTTAGCTCTGCTTCATCATGGGTACTCTGTTGCTACTAGTTTAATATCTATTTAATTTTAATTGAGGATTATGGTATCCAAGGTTGTCCTAAAAGGAAATGGAAATCAGCTCAGGTCACTTAGATGTTGTGTTCTCACAACATGCTTGACCTGCTTCCTGAATGAATTCATTTATTATGGTTCTCTATGCCTGGAACCATAAATTGACCCAAATAGGCTTGGTTGAGCTAAGAAGCTAAGCCAAACTTAGTCTGTTATGTGAATGCAATTCTTAGATTTGTAATTGGTCTGTTGTGTTGTGGAATCACAGCATTGATAACCAGTGAAGTTGTACGTGGAGGAGAGATAGTAAAATGTAATGGATCACAACAGGGCTTATTTAGCCCTATATTCTGTTCATGTAGGGTCAAGAAATAACTTTGGATGGACCACAAATTGGACATTACTGTTCCAAGTCCTTTTTGTCTGCAACTTGGTAGCTATTTGTTTAGTTCCATTAATCTTATTACACAATAACCCAATGGCTATGCCTGCACTTGGCAGCAGAGGGTTATGCTACTTAAGCATGTGCTGTGAAAATGTCTTTTAAAGCCATCTCATGGCTTTAAATACTCATGTCATCTTGTGACAAGGAATATTTATTTGATTTATCCCATTCTCAGTCCAGAGAAACTATAGGAGGTAACCATAATGTAATGGTATATGGCAAATATATATTTTAAAGCCATCTTACCTGTCCACCCCAACATCTTGTGACAGGAAATGCCACCATTTAATTGTATTCACTTTTCCAACATTCAGGAACAGGAAGGAGTCAAAGGCAACTTTGGAAAAAAGAATGAAGGCCAATCAAAGTCTCTCTGATTTCATTTCTGCTGGAAATGGAGATGAAAGTATTTAGTAGTTAGAAACAAAGAGAAAGAGCAAAAAGAGGCAATCTGCTAGCTGCATTACAGTATTTTATTTTATTATTTTATACTTTTTCAATCATTTATTAAAGTTACCTGGGCAAAAGTTTTTAAAAAATTAGTCAGGGAGGGGGACTAAGCATGGAAGTAAATGCTTGTTTTATCTCACTGACTTAACATACCTACTTCAGGAAAGGTTAAAAGTATACTTTGGCTGCAAAACCATTTCCAGCTGTGGCTTTTTTGTAAAGAACAATCCCAAGGTGGGAAACAAGTTGCAATAAGTTAAAAACAATTCTAAAAAGTAATAATAACATAATTAGATAAAACCCTTACATGTTTAAAGCTAAAAGGACAGTAAGTCAGAACAGAAGAAAATGGAACAGAAGAATATAGCTGTACAACTAAGCCCAAATTGTGCATGAACAATACCAGCTGCAATGAAAGGAGTTCCACTTCTGGATTTTGAAAATACTTTTTCCTGGATTAGTAAATTTTTGGCAGTTGGGGTACCCTCATCTGTGGCACATTCATGGCTTAACACAGTGTGTGTTTATACTGTAGTTTGTTCATGAAGTCACAGTTTGCTAGGTTTGCACACAGGATTGAGCTATAATCCATGGTTTAAATAAACCATACTGAGCTAGTACGATAAACTATATGCTGTGGATTGCAAACCACAATATATGAAGTTAAAACTAGGCAAACTGCAACTCAGCTTAATGGACATATTTAGCCATCATATAAAATATGTTTGATTCCCACAATATGCTAGAATAGCCTGGCATCAAATGGAAGTGGGTAGTTTGTTTTCTGTATATTGGGGGAACCCAGCCTTGTCGTAGAATATTGTGATGGTTTTTATGAACTACAGCATCCTGTTAAGTCAGAATAGATCATTATGTTCTGTTAACACAGATTAACATGTTAGGGTTAGGGTTGATGAGCCCCATGTCTTTGGCTAGGCTTAGAATTGAATTTGTGTCTATGCTTAATTTGTCCTCAAGCATACAACTGTTTTTGTTTTGTTTTTTTATTACAGATGGAGGGGGACAAGCTTATGGTACCCCCTAGTGGGGACCATGGCTCTCAGCGAAGTAGTATCTCTTCCACTGGTCCTCGTGGTGAGTGAAATGGGTAAAAGAAAATGCCCCCCCCCAAAGGATGTATGAGTAAAAGTCAAAGTAAAAATGTTTAGTAACAGACTTTTGCTTTTATTCTGTGCTTGCCAACCTGGTGTCTGCCAAATGGCTGGGTTCATATAACACACTTAACCAGCTCTGTCAAAGACCTAATATTCACATAACATGCTAAGTTTTGTTAGTTCAAAGCTTAGCTCATTTTTGGTTATACAATGTATTACGCAGAACCAGTCCATGTGATTTGTTTTTTGTTTGTTTGTTTGTTTTAAGGAATTGTACAGCTGCTGCAGTTAGAGCTGAATTGGGAATCCATACAGTTTGTTCTTTGTCTAAAATCAGGGCTTATAATTATTGGTGCAAAATCAATGCTATGGAAACTGATACTCCCAAAATTGTGTCTGTTAGAACAGACAAAGTCTCAATTACAGACTTCTTGGATAGTACAATTGACAAATTATATTAGGAACTGTGGTCTCCCTGTCTCATGTCCAATTGTTTCT